GACAGGGACGCGGGGGATAAAAAATGATTGGATCCTTGTGATGACCATGGCTTATTATTCCACCTATTGTTTGATGCTAGTTGTGTCCTTGTGTGGGTTTCGTGTGTACTGCATTTTGGGTTAGTTCCCAGCAGACTTGTACCATATATCCGGTCAAAATTTGTTTGTGTGCCATACTCTGAAGACCCTGAGTTGTTGATAGCCGAGTTCTGACTATTACCACTTGTACTATTGAGGGTGACATTGTTGTGACATTGGATATTAGTGTGTGCCATGGTGCGATTTAGCACGTTGTGAGTGCTAATACTATTAACCGTGGGGAGTGTGGGCTTATTTAAGCTGCCACTGTTTTTGTTGGTATGATTTAGGGGCATATTTTCCTTATCTTTAGCAATGGAGTTATGGCTAGGAGAGGACAAAGTCGAATTTCGGGGGGTTTTAACTTTTTTTCTGGGGTTATTTAGTGGCATTTTAGATTCTGCGGTGATGGGTGGTATGGTTTTATTATTTATTTGGTTACAGTCTAGTGGCCTTTCGGCTGGTGTTGCACTCTGATGGGATATTTCTGTGTGTTTTGAGAGGGGTGATGCGGTGGGGTCTACTGTATCTTTCACAGGGTTGGGAATAATGGCTGCTTGCAATGTCCTATTACCTATTTCACAATTAGTCTTAGCGAGATAGTTGTATGCGCGCCTTTCTATGACTGTTTTGTCCACCCCGACCTTTATATGTTTGTAGTTTCTGGCTTGCGATAGGGTGTGTTGGGAGTGGATGAATTTTCTGGTCTCTGCCGGTGTTTCGAACTGAAAACGAATAGGACAACACTTTTCATGTTGACTCTTCTTCAGCCTATAGCACTTAGTCTTGGAGTTAGGCATTTTCGCTTCACTAAGTAAGATGCGCTGTACCTTTTTTAGTGCCTCATTGTCCGGAACGTTGTAGACAATAGCACTCAGTTTTGCGTCGAGTCGTTTTGTTACTTCTGTGGTAACAAAATTAATGAGGTTATCTACCTTAGTTACCGATTCTGTGTCAAGCTTGTTAAGGTTTACAGTTTTCATGAGGATAGTTAGAGGTGTCAGTTCACAGACCTGCGATCTGATATCGCTGATCTGATCTGATAATTTGGATATCTCGGTATTGGTTTCGATGTTTCCAGCATTTACTGACTTACTGTTTTTTATTTCCCTTAACTCAGCCTTAAGTTCTCCTATAGACAACTTTAGAAGTTCTATTTCTGAAGATAGTACTGAAAAAGAGCTTGATGGCTGGAGTTTCTCCATAAGCACATAAGGTGAAGGGAGGAGTTCTGTATGAGCAGAGGGTACTGAATTTTTAGGAGTAGTGCTAATACTAGCTGTCAGTACAGTTTTATCCTCAGTTCAGCTCGACGCTTACGGCATACAAGTGAGTTATGTGACTCACTATAGCCGTTTGTTGGGGGTGTGTTGCTTGATGTAGCAATCAAGGACGTTAAATTAGACACCAGTTTTACAGGGGATTGGGTTCGTTGCTTTTTACTTTGATTAACCATAACTATTAGAAATGAGAGTTAGTGGTTACAAGTATGGAAGTAGTATAGTACTTGTGCAAGTACTACAACAAGATAAATTTTATGTAACGAATCACGTAAAAATGTAACGCAAACGTTGAACGTACCGCTACCCAGGATGTCCGCTTTTACTTTTAAATTCAAAGATAACGTTAAGTTGCTCGGTAAGGTAGTAGCTAAGGGTGATTACCTTCGGCAGAAACCACTTTAAGGTAACTACGTAGCTTTAGGTAACGCGTCATAGAAGTAAGCAGCGTAGGTTAATTGTGTCCAAATATATTAAACGTTGTGTAACTGGTCAAATCGTAGCTCTTACATACTAGTTAGTCCTATAAATAATGAATGCACCGTACAAACGTTTACTTTGATTTGCATACCTAGCTCATAAGCATTATACTCGCATGTGGTATACATTTAAGGCTGATATGCTGTGTGCTGAGTTCTGCGAAACACGGTTGTATCATGAATAAAGCAAGAAAAACAGGTCAAGTATAGGTAAGTATCACGGACTGACAAACTGTAAGAGGGGAGGATGAGTTATGCTTGAGTGCCTTAACTTCTTAATGTGAACAGTCAGACGAAATATTACTTTAGAAATCGCTTAGACGTGGAAAGACCAGGATTGGCCAGAAGAAAGATTTAATCCAAGATACTTAACGTCGGACTTGATTTCTATATCACTCATCAATTATACAACGGTAATTGGGAATTAACAGCTCCACTTAAGTTTCTTTTACATCTAAAACTGAAATTAACTGCCTGACATTTGGAAGGATTTAGTTTAAGGCCGTTAGACGAAGACCATTTGCTAATTCTTGATAGAAAGCTGTTCATTTTAGTACTATCTAGCTGGGAGTTGACAGACTGAAATAGTTAGATCATCGGCATACTTAACAAAGCAGATATTCAAACACTGCAGTTGTTGATCATAGAAATGATGGATATTAGGTAAAATCACACAATTCAACAGCAAATCAGAAATAAATAAAAATTGTTTCTTAGCCCGTCGCCAAGTGGACAGTCTCTTTGAGGATTCCATTGCATATTAACTGGTTAATGAAGTAGATATCAACCCTAATTTCCCACATTTACTTGTGCTACATACTCGGCGTTTAGCAGTATACAGACTTGCAGTTGGTTAAATGAGGCGACTTTAGCGCAACGAACATGACGGAATTATTATTCAACTTGCTAAATCCTACTTAGTTTTTACAACGTGCTATTGTATAGAAACAGACGCGAAATCCTATGAATGGTTAAAGTAACATTCTCATAATCCTATAGTAAATCTCCATTGGACTAACTAGGCTTAGCATGCATTAAACCGAATTCACATATTACAAAAGCTCATAGTATAGCGACGCACTGAAGAAGTTGAACAGAAGTAGAAATGATGAGTATATTAAACATTTTCTTAATTTACGGAAGAACATTTTTTTTTGATTTACAGCTTGATTCCACACTGTATTTTTGGTACAAGTGTGGAATTTTCAGCGTGGATATCGGTAGCCCAAATTTTGCAGGCCGACCATAGATATCAGGTGTGCGCCGGCGTGGGCTCGAACCCCGGACCATGTGCATGGTCGGCGAGAGTCCTAACCACTGTGCCACCGACGCAGGTATTATCGTTAGTTTGACAGATTGACATTTTCACTGACTTCACATTCCACAGCCTCCATATACCTAAAATATGAAGCAAAACACGAATTTGTGAAAGATAATTTTATATATTATTATGCACCGATTATATACTAAGTAAAGTTCTCATATAATTAAAAGTATTTGTAGTCCACAGCTGGTCTTTATATTGACGCCGTATGCGTTAATAGACGTCATGAGTTGTCCAGCATTAGAGGATTACACGCAAATTTCAAGATAAACTCTGAAACACCCATACTGTTGAGACGCCATTCTCTCATCAATTTCATACTGAATACGTCTACGTTAAACGAGGTATTGCAAATGTGTAGCTTTGAAATTGATCCACAATCTCAGTAATGTCTAGTGAGCATAGTTTTCTGAGTCCTACAGAAATTACATTCTCATATTTAGGAATCTGTAGTCGTCATATATGAGCTGAACATGCCTCAACTCTAATCAACTATGCACAGTGTTAACGATATACAGAAACACTTAAAATATTGTAAGATACGCAGACCTGTTGTGTTGATGAGGACAACAATGAAATATAATGCAACCTAGACATTCAATCGTGATACTGCATCTGTACTGTTTCAGGTAAATGGAAACTTCAGAAGAAATCCATCTCCACTATTGGTGATCAAAAACATTGCAGTATTAAGTTTACAGTGTCAGACAGCATATAGTCTGTAGATTAATAATAATAGAGCTAACTAGATTTAATTCTCGTAATCAAGACAAAGCATGTGTATATTATCACTATACACTGAATAATTACACTGAGTGAATCAGTGAGGAGAATTAAACGAGTTATTGCTTTCTCAAATGCACTACACTTGCAGCAATCACGAGAACCACCTACGTTTGTTAGCCTAGCAGCAGCTAAGCACACAATGGCACAATATTAATAAAGGTATATTTATACATTCAGATCACATAGCCCATATTATACTGCGCCAATCAGTGTAAATATATATTAAATCCACTTAGAGATAACCTTTCAACTTACCATTATTCCTGTCCAAACACATATACGGTGAAAGACACATCTACGTCATAACTTCTGTTTCCACATGGGGTTCTGTTGGTATTTGTAGGTGATTCCCATGTACTGATAGCATTCTTTCGCCAAATAGTACTGTTCTTCACACGAAAATAGCCACATTTAGACGTGGTCTTCATTGAATGCATTCAGCAGCTTTCGACATAATATCACGATATTATGTCGAAAGCTGAAGCTTCTACAAGAAGTAAACTATTTGTGTAGGCGATACTACTCTCCAACTACCCCATCTTTTATCATTATACCGATGTTTTAACTCATTCAGCATGAAAAACTAATCGTTACAATCCATACGATTAGAGCGTATCGCAGTAGGATTACATGACGCGGACACCAACATAACTAGCCAGGAAATGAGAATTCCTATTGATTCAGAAAACATATACCACAATTTTATTGAAAATTATTGACAAAACAAATTTACCGAGAGAAATTTAACCAACATGCCGGATAAGTCCAGCCGGAATAATTGTTAATAGTTATAATAACTTTATTCCTAGGGCGCTCCAGCACATACTGCAGAGTCTTGATTAAGTCTGGTTGCAAATTATTTATTCCAAGTGTAGAGTCGTCAAGTAAAATATTAGTCGGTCACAATTCATTAGGAAATAGTAATATTCCAGTAACTAGGTGCGTCCGGCTGTCATTAAAAAGTGGTGTGACTGTTTTCGGGGTACTGAAGGAATCGTTCGCAGAATTGTTACAGAGAGAGAGTTTTTCCGTGTTGGTCAATTTGCAATTGAAAGAATTTAGACGTCAGTGTCCTTGACCTAGAGAAGTGCTGGCGGGCTCCTTGGATTCCCGTAAGTTGTGTAAGTTGTTTCTGGTAAGGTAGCTAGTTTTTCTGTACATTGATCATTATAAAATTCGCTAACTTCTAGGATAGCCAGGTAGTCACATTTAAAACTGTTGGCCTACATTTAGAAATCCATATAGCTATAGGTCTCTAATATATGTTGAGTTAGTCCGAACTTTAATTGCACTGAAATTGTGCTGTATGTTTTCAGGTTAAAAACCGTTATTCTTTGTGTGTTAGATATCATGTTGAGGCGATTTTTCCATCATATTTGCCATCATTAAGCGGAGTCTTTGATATATAGTTGGGTTATTCCGTGAGCTATTGTACCGCACTTAAGGTGAGGTGTTCGGAGGAATACATCAATATTTATTTATAATTGTTTGTTTTGAATTCGGTTTATTATTTAAATGCTGTTTCAGTGTTTATGTGGTAGGTGCTAGGGAGGTGCTGTCTACAATTGTGTAGGAATGAGCACAATTCTAATGAAGGAGTGCTACTTAAACTAAGGCAATAGTAGAAAGATGTCATATTAAGCTGTCACCTGCAATAGATACGTCAATATTGCTAATTGTTGCAGATGTGCTTGTGGATATTTTGGTATATGTGGTCTCCTGCATCGTTCAGTTCGTCTCCGAAAGTTTAATGAGGGTACTTAAACAACATATTCATAGTATTAAAAACAGGCATCCCCAGAAATTTCCAAACATAATGGTAAACGCAGTCCCATTCGGTTATGAATTACGTAGTCATTAATTGGCACCTCCAGTGTCGGATTGCATTAGTATAAGGAAACAACATGGAAAGTTGAACATCAACACTCAAAGAAAATTCTCACATTCAAAGCGGTTCTATCCTATTCTGACAGTAAAGATAAAAATACTGATATCATTAATAGGTCAACTGGCCAGTCAGTACGAAAAAATTTACGATAGAAAGCAGGACCTAAACAACGTCTGATACCTAATAATTACCCTGATATATTCACAAATAAGTTAACTAGAAATTGTAAACATACAATTCATAAATGTGTGTATACAGGTGACAGCACAAAAAGACATTAATATACACAGTTGGTAGTGCTTCCATGCAAAGAAAAAGCTCCACCATTCTTTAGAAGATAGGAATTAAGGTGGTATTTCATTGAGAACCAGTGTTGTATGGGGCATCCTGTGGAGCTTATCAAACAGTGATTTATGCAATACCAGGCAGTAGGATTAGTGTCAAATACATCTTTTAATGTAGTAGGTCATATTCGGTTATATCAGTGAAGTCCAGTAACTTAGCAAAATCTACGTTAGTAAACCGTACTGAGATTTAGATTCAGATTTATATGTTGAGGATACAAGTCTTAGAGCTTATGTTAATCCTCTTGTAGTAAAGTTCTGATCTTGTCCAGACCCTTCTTGAATGAATCAGTAATAAAGCAAGAAATCAAGAGGGAAGCGCAGCTTCAGCAGCATATCGGGCCACACGTCCATGCGATAGCGTGACACTCTTTAAGATGTAACAGGGTGAAAGCAGAGATTGGGGATAATTTGACATCTGTCTAAAATATGTGTATAATTGTACTACTTTTATGACGAATGGAAATAACAAGAACTATGAAGACTTAGTTCCGAAATTGTAAAGTTACATTTGGTATGATTACTAACAATAATTCGTGTTCGAAACATAAACCACAAATAATACCGTCCCACTGTGACCCATTGGTCAATCAAACTGGCTCTGAGTTATATGCTACCACAGTACCAAATTTGTATTAATTTTAAAGGGAGCTTCCTTTCCCACAAGTAATCCATAAAATGGGATTCATATGTGTATTTAAAGTGAAATAAATGGGACTTTTGTGCTGTCCATGTAGACATCTCGATAATGTGAAACCTTCAACTAGTTTTCACTTTAGTTTCTCTTTTCAGTTATATCTTGAGTGGCGGTAAGTACCCCGTTATATCTTCCCCCATTAAAATTGAGAGTATATTTAGCAGCCTACTTGGAACTTCCGTGAGAATTAGAAAAGGACAGCACTCATAGAGTTTAACTCACCAACGAGCATTGATGGACGACTTATTGTGACAAAGACTAGTTGAATTCCAAGAAAACATAAGAGGAAACCATATAGATTGTAGAATATATTATACAGGTCTGTAGCAGACATTCATCATCATTCGACTCTAAATAGCCTCTGTAATAACCATTTCGTGAAAGCGGCTACCTCTTTCAAAGTAATGCTTAGGGTGAACTACATTGGTCGAGTAGACTCATGTCACTAGGGAGATTGTGTTGTAAGCTTCATGAAATCTCCAATATTTGCCGTGCTGTTTAAAAGTTTCATAACTTAATTTTGGGTTCAGATACTTACGGAAAGCAAACGAAGTGGCTGACTGAACGACGGCTTCTCAAGTTTTCACGTTAGACAATTATCCACGAGGCAGTTAAGCATAGGTATCTGTTGTGTTGCTAAAGTTTTGTTTAGTCAATTTATAATTAGTGGTAACTTGTGTTTTTATGCTACACGCTGCTCGAAATTGCAGATTGAGGAAATATTAGGAGCATTTCGCCGGGATCTGGTATGCGAGTCACTGCGAAGCCGCACACATCAACCACGTAGCTATCCAGAGTTCTGGCCGAATTCTCCCAGTTGTCCAACTCGAATCAACGTGGCACACGGTTTCAGAAGAGCCATATCAGTTACTTCACCACTGAAGGTAACTGACTAGTAACTCGAAACTGTACAGATAGACTGGGATTTAATACCACTGAGAACGGATGACGAAAGCAAAGATACCAAAATAACGTAAAGTCGGTCCATATAGTCGGCGTTCTCTCCTTTACAGCACCATCTAACAACCCGGAGGTTTTAAAGGAGTTTCAAAGATTAAAGTATCATAAATTATTCGTGCCACACACCACATAGTCGAGATGAGTTTTTTGGGAAGTTAGGAGGCGAGAATCTGGTCGAGTAAACCAGATTGGTTTAGGTGTACAAGTTTGTGAGTGTTCCGTAATTTAAGGTCATTACTGTTCCCATCTCTGAAAGGCGCCGATTTAATATATGTAATAGTCTTTGGATATCAGTTAGCTAACATCTAGTCCGAATAGAGGCTATTCCTCATACTTTAAGGAGTTTCCAGAACGTTAGAAAAGTTATTTGCGAAGGTTGAACTGAGTTTCATTCAGATATTCAATAATTCCTTATGTTTCTTCTCGCACGATCTCCTCCATGTCACCCTCGTACCAACGATGGACTCGTCGCTTCCCATTGGGATTCCACCCTATCGGTGACCTGCAGTGCACAAGATGTCACTCGACGGCCTCCGCAGTGTATGCCCAATACATCTCCATTTTCTCCTACGCATTTGTTCAGAGATCAGATCTCGGTTGGCTTGTTCCCAGAGTTTCTTGTTGCTAATTCTTTTTGGCCGGTTATTTAATCTTCAGTATGAAGCCAGCGAATGGTGACAGCTGTTGATAAAAGTCTATAACTTGCTGTCGGAAATCCTTTACGTGACTCTCAGTGAAAGTTTCTGACCCATGTAGGAGAACTCACTGACTGGCATTTGTGTTGAACACAGTCGAAAATTGTTCTTTGTGATGATGGGGCGGAGTGCAGAAAATTCCCATACAGGTTTCAGGTTGATGAAGGCGTGTGTATCTTGCCTTTACGATTCTGACTGGCCTTGACATCTTCATTCGTTCCGACTACCTGTGGTTGATACCGTGTTTCCTAGCCTGATAAGTGAACGAAGTAACCTATGTGAAGTTTCTCCCGTTTATGGTGATTCGTTCTGGTTGTTGTTACTGTTGGTGGCTGTTAGTTATCTTCATCACCTCCGTTTTGCTTATGTTCACCTGAAGGCCTGTCTTCATTACCTACTTTCCTCTACCAGTTTGTTGGTTTTCACCTGGAAGCCTTCGGGTTTGTGTGACATTAGACATAAATCATCCACGCGCGAAATCCAAGTGTTCCAGAGTTTCCTTATCGGTCAGTACACCGTATCCCTGTCTCCTCTTTCCCCACCTACAGTCTGACACATAATACAGTCCACCACAATTAAGAGTATTGTCGTTGATAAGGGCCTCACTGAGGTTTTCATTGTGGATTACCTGGCACGTGGCATTGTCATATAGTTGTAGCTGAATGAGGTTGACAAACATTGGGCAATGCACGCCATAGTGTTGAAGTAGTTTCTAGACTTCCTTGTGGTCAACGCTGTCGAAGTGGAGGAAGTTGAGGTAGAGAGAGGTTTGACTACCGTTCTGTGCTTCGTTCGATAATAATAATAGTGATGCGTAGAGTTGGAATTCGATCCGCACATGATTTACCTCTGTGGGTCGGTGGCATAGCGGTTAGGACGCTCGCCGACCATGCACATTGTCCGGGGTTCGATCCCCGGCCGACGTACTCCCTTAGCTCGCTAAACCAGTAATAAGACTGGTAAAGAGGGGAGGTTGGGCATGAGGCTAGCAACCCCATCCTGTAAAAATTAAACACTGCTACAGAAACTTCAAGCCACTAGCTTAAGGCCCTATGTTCCACTGAGGAACGTGAAGGAAAAAAGTGATTTGCCTTTCTGAATCCAGCCAGGTTGTTCCGGGCTGACAGTTCTGTATCCAGTGCATCATTTATCCCTCCCAGGATGGCACAACTCACCATTTTACTTGGCGTGGACAAGAGCATTATTCCACGCCAGTTCTCGCAGAGTGAGGCATAAGTAGCCTTTCTTGGAAGCTTGACAAGGTAACCTTTCTTCTGCAGACCTATCGTTATGTTTTGTAATGTCACGGCTGTCTCCAATTCCTTGACACTAACCGCTCTTTGAAATTATCTGTTAGACATATGTACCCCTGAAAGGTTTGTCAGCAGCTAGTAAGCTCTCTACATAAACATTACAGGCGAAATAACGGCATACAGCCACCCATTATCTCTTCGAAATCCTTTGCTGAAAGGCTATATATATACATATATATCAGTTGAGGAACTATTAAGAACCAGGGAGTACTGGACAGCTGTTTTGTCCTAGTTTGGGACCCATCGGCAGTGCCCACCCACTCAGGGTTTCGTAAAAAGGACGTTCCGGTTACATGGCGAGCTAGCTGGTAGACCATTCATTCACTGGAATCGGATTCAGTGACCAGCGCATGAATTATAACATCTACCGATTCGTGATTTTAGCGCGACTGGCACCTGCCAGTATCATCAGTGTCTAGTATTTGTCCTCACTTCCGATCGGGTGGACTCTACTGGTCACAACTTCTTATAAGAAAGAACTCCAGGCAACTTATTATATTGTTATTAACACTACTTGACCTATCAACGTCGGTGTTTGCACAAAACTACAACAGTTGAAGTTGTCTCACTATGGTAAAACTCATACAGAAAAAGAGAGAACAAATGTAATAAAACGCGCAGTGGACAAGGATTTAAGATAGAGAAGACAATTAGGTAGAAACTAGGGCTGATTTTTAGACAATGTGTGTGATAACCAGGCGTAAATAAATCTGTACACCGTTGCTAAATACTCTGAAGCATGTTACTATAACAGTCTCCAATCCTTGATTCATAGCATCTATGGAGAATACAAGAGCATTCACTTCTTGTATGTATTTGTTTTTTTGAATAGGTTTTCCAAGGTGTTTATCAGGCTACTGTTAACGGCCCTTTACACAATGTGTTCTTTCTTTCTTTTCCACATGACTACATAACTTTTTTATGTGAAGCTGCTGTAATTTATTGTGTTCAAAATCATTTCTGCAAATCAGTTTACAATTAATATATGTGTAAAACTTGGGCACTGTGGTAGTAAGTAATTCCATATTAGTTTGTTTATTAAATGTATCACACAGTGAGTGAAACAGTATTAGTACTTACTGAATGACACAGTTTCGAACAAAATTTATTGTTCATAATCATCGCATCAGTTATGTAATTGGAGTTTTATAGTTTTCTTTGTCCTCTCCTATTTGTCGTCGTTGGGGTAGTTGAATTTTTCAGATACCAGGGACAGGTTTCAAAGTCGCGTGATTATTATTGATATGATTCTCCAGATATCTGGGACAGGTGTTGAATCATTCCTATTACAATTATAGCACTTCATGCAATTACACACAACCATACAATACGATGATGGGATAAGATGACAGTTTTAAAATCTAATGTCACACGGTGGAGGGAGGGAGAGATCGATAACAGAAGCTTTGTTTATCGAATCAGCTGAAAGAGAACACGTTTAATAGGAGTGATTCAACACCTGTCTAGTCGGACATCTGAAAAATTCAACTACCCCAACGACGACAAATAGGAGAGGACAAAGAAAACTATAAAACTCCAATTACATAATTGATGCAATGATTATGAACAATAAATTTTGTTCGAAACTGTGTCATCCAGTAAATAATACTGTTTCACTGACTGTGTGATACATCTAATGAACAAACTAATGTAAAGTTTACAATGTTAGATAATTTCATTATCTCTGTTACAACGAGTGTAGTGTACTTTTGTTCCTATACGTCTCTAGATGTTTTCCTAGTCAAATTATATATATATATATATATGTTTTTCTTCAAAAATTTAAATAGTGATTTGCTGCTGCACATCGTTACTTGTACATGGCGAATCGTACAGTTAAAGATGCTCATACAGTTCACGGCACCAACCCCCAGTATCTCATTGAGAAAATCGTTCGTAGTCGTATTTATGAGTCACAATTCTGGAAGGAGCATTGCTTCGCATTAACAGGTATGTGTAACTTCTTACTGTTCCCCCAAAATCGATATTTTTTGTTCAATAGCTGAATTACTAGTCGATAAGGCTGTAGAACTGCGTTATGTCGGTGGAGTGTATAGTGGAAATGTTAAACCAACGCCTTTTCTGTGTCTAACACTGAAAATGCTACAGATTCAACCGGATAAAGACATTGTCATTGAATTTATAAAACAGGAACCGTACAAGTTAGTTGATTTCGGTAAAAAGTCGTTGATTTCAGGTATGCTCGAGCTTTAGGTGCCTTCTACTTGAGACTAGTTGGGGAGTCTGTTGAGATATATAAATATCTTGAAACGTTGTATAACGATTTTAGACGTTTAAAATTTCAGGATAAAATGGGAAGTAAGTTGTTGCGGTTATCTCTTATGCCCATTCATCATTTGTTAGATTTCAGTTTAATTTACATGGATGATTTTATCGATCAGTTGCTTACAGAAGAACGTGTATGTGATGTTATCCTGCCGCGTTTACAAAAACGAGAAGTTCTTGAAGAACTCAATGGTCTGGAACCCCGGCAGTCACTGCTGAATGAAGATCTGGAAGATATACAGTATACAGAAGAATTAGATCCAGTGAATCAGTATGATGAAAATCATAAATCAAAAGGCAAGCATAAACGACGCGATCATGGGAAAGACAAAGACCGCCATAAACGAAGACATCGTGAGGAATCTCCTCATGGCGAACGTAGGGAAAGAGAACGAGATCATGTGTCGTCACGCCATAAAGACCGTGATGACTATGAACGTAAACATGACAGAGAGAAAGGACGAAGGTAAGAAAGACTTTTTAAAAAACAAAACTAAACTTGAATAATTCTATTCTTGCTTAAGACCCAACTAAATTCAGTTCTCAATTCGAATATAGTAGTGTTTGAAAATATCTTTCATGATGTCTGTTTGTCTGTCTGTTTTCAACATAGAACTTTGCACCGATGTGCAGGAGTTCAAGTCGACACATTCCCTCCTTGTAGCACACAAAGCAAGCGAAGAAAGTACAAGAAATGCAGAATAGAGACAGTAAACAGAGGTGTGAGACAAAGGAATAGTTATAACGAAGAACAATATAGTTTCATTGGAAATTATAAGTCACAAAGAGTAGATGCATCTTCGCCAGCCCTTGAGAACGGTTACTTTGAGCCATATCACCCAGTTGTCTCCAGACATTGGTTTTTACCGTCCGAAGGACTTCAACCGGCCAACCAGGAAGTCAACAGCTTCCTACGTGAATGGCTTAAACTAACTGTTGTGGATTCTATTGACTGATGAAGCCATGTTTCGGTTTGATCACCACTGTCACCATTATATACCTCTATCGGACAAAAACTAGCAAAAGAAACCATGGAGCAATTACTTAGCCACGATGAACATCTTCCACAACAATCAAAAATGCAACACACAAGCTGGATGGAATGCATAAACCTATGCCTAACAACATACTTCCAATTGAACGGCCAAATATATGAACAAGTCAAAGGAACACCCATGGGATCGCCAATATCAGGTTTGATTGCAGAAGCAGTGATGCAAATACTCGAAAACATAATTCTACCAAAGATCAAACCCAAGATTTGGATACGCTACGTCGACGACACATTTGTAATAATCAAAAGGAACGAGTTAGATAAAACTCACAACTTAATAAACAACGTCTTCAACGACATCTAATTCACAAGAGAGGAGGAATCCAAGAACAAAATACCATTTTTGGACGTCTTAGTCAGGCGAACAACCGCAGGAGAATTAGAAACTCAAGTCTATAGGAAATCAACTCACACAGACCAAATCCTAAATTACAACAGCAACAACCCAATAACACACAAAAGGAATTGCATACAAACACTATTCAAGAGAGCCAGGCAGAACTCATCGCAGCACTCCCACTTTAAGGAAAATTGTAGAAAAGTATCTCATGGACGTCTTCCAAAAGAATGGATATCCACGGAATTTCATCAAAAGACATATGTGTGGCATATGTGTGCGTCGGTGGCACAGTGGTTAGGACTCTCGCCGACCATGCACATGGTCCGGGGTTCGAGCCCTCGCCGACGCACACCTGATATCTATGGTTGGCCTGCGAATTTTGGGCTACCGATATCCACGCTGAAAATTCCACACTTGTACCAAAAATACGGTGTGGAATCAAGCTGTAACCATAAAAAAAAAAAATATATACCCCCAAGTCAACCTATCAAAGCAAAAGCCACCAAGGAAAGCACAAAGAAAATCGCCTTACCATACATAAAGGATATCTCAGAAATCACTACAAGACTCTTCAAACCTCTAGGAATCGACGTCGTACACAAACCAAGAAAGTCGCTTCACTCAATTCTATGTCAACCAAAAGACTCAACAGCGAAAGAAGATAAAACCAACATCATCTACAGAATAAATTGTAACAACTGCGAAAAACACTACATTGGCCAAAGTGGACGTCCCCTTCGTCTTCGTATCCACGAACAAATGTTAGCCGTCAAAAGACATGATATCCACTCCCTCATATCACTACTCACAGACAACCACGGACATCAATTCGACTGGGATAACCAGCGTTCATATACTAAACAGAGGAAACAACAAGAATGCTAGAGGATTTTTAGAAGCTTGGCAATAGATACATAGAGAAAGACAAAATTTATCAACCAATAAGAAAGAAACTTCACACACAAAAGGTCAAAGTTCAAGCCAAAGAAACAACCAGTTCCAATACAAGTAGCCTAGAAGGTGTGAAAACACACACAAAAACAACCGATCACGTCCAAGATCACCAGGAGAGATGATTAATAAACTCGTGGAGAAATCTAAAAGCTCACTTCAAATTGAAGTATGCGCTGAAGATGTCACGCAGTAGGGTGATGAAAGCTTCGCGAATTAACCATCCAGCTCAGAGAACACAACCACATCAAAGCCACTGTCTCCTTTCCAACCTGATCCATCCTATGTCAGCTAACATTCCCCGTGATCGAGGAAGGCGATGACTTGGCATGCGCAACACATGTCCTAACCATCTCAGTCGATGTAGCTTCACAACCTCGTCGATTGATTTCCCCTCCCCTCCATACCTAGCACTCGAACGAGGACTAACTTCAATATTGCTCACCTTATTATACTACGTCACACGGGAGATAGAGTGTAGGCACCTATGATCAAAGACAGCTAGCCAGCCTTTCCATGTCTTCCACTCTCAATGACCAGGTCTCACAGCCAGCCATAAAGGAGGACGGAACGGACTGATGAACAGGACATACGCCCTTCAGTTGATAGCCAGCCGGATATCACGTCTACGCCAGAGACGGCGTAAACTGGAATATGCGAAACTAGACCTCTGTATCCGTTCTGAGATTTCGTCTGCGATCAATCCGCTGACACTGGCTGATGCAACTTCCCAAATGAGTTAAGTGGTCAACACGCTCCACAAATCACTTCACTCCCTATTTCTAAGCTGGGAGTCAATGTAGTCGACTTGTGTAGCATCGCCTTAGATTTCGCGAGAGCGAATCGCATGCCAAACATTGGTAGATAGAGGTTCTAGGTGTTCAGAAGACTGCATTTTGTCAGCGTTTTCACCTAGAAGGACTATATCATTTGCATATTCTAAGTCAACGAGATTATTCCGTGGTAACAAGTCAGTCCCTGAGTCTCTGAAGTAAGTTCATTAGTGCATCTATGATGAAATTGAATAGAAATGGGGATAGTAGGCATCCCTGACGGACATCTTTCATGATGACCTGATGTTGCTGCCACAGTCACTTTACTATTTTTATTATTATTACTTCTAGAACACTCCAGGTGGATTATTCTTCATGTATCAACGTCTGATATTCGATTGTCAATTACCACTTCAGCATGAAAGAGTGACATTAAGGATAACTTGCTAGTTATGATGTTGAATGCAGTAAGCCAAAAAGATTGTGCTACAGAATGAAAGCTAGTACTGGTTTATAAGCTCTTAGAAAGCCAGAACGACCAAAAAAATTGTTTCTGCTTCGAGTCCCCTGTAAAATCCAGGTGAATAGACATCCGGACTGTGAATCCGAATTTTTTTATATGATCACAGTTTTGCATGAAATTGAACTTCACGAGGATAATCATACGGCTGATCGACTGACTCTAGCCATTGTTCATTACCATCCCAAGGACCCCAACCAGTCAAGGAATCTACACCTCCCTACGTGGCTGGCTGGAAGGCCTAAACTAACTTGTGGATTTCACTGACTGATGAAGCCATATCTTGCTTTGACCATCACTAGGTAATTCTTTTCCGACCTAATCCATCCTATATCAGATAACATTGCCCGTCCTGGAAGGTGATCCCTAGCGACGCATAACACAGAATGTCGTAACCACTTTAATCAATGTAACTTCACAACCTCGTCGGTTGATTTCCCCTCTTTATCTAGCACTCGAACGAGGCCTAACCTCAATATTTCTCACCTTATTATACCACTTCACACGGGAGACAGTACGGAGACATATATAATCAAAGACAGCTAACCTTTACATGTCTTCTAATCTTAGTGGCTATGTCTCACTCACAGCCATCCATAAAGGAGCAGTACACATGTCGTCTGATTGATAGTCAACAAGATATCACGTCTACGTGGGAGACGATGCAGGTTGGCACTACTCACACAAGCATTCTGTGTCCTTCCAGAGATTTCGTCAGCGATCACAACTTCACAATTGAGTGAAGTGGTCAACACGCGCTCTGCTACCTCACTCTCCCTCCCACTTTAAGCGAGGGGTCGATGTAGTGTAGTCATAGTTATCTCATATCTCACTGGTGTGTAAATCGCATGTCAAACATTCGAATGCTGCTGCTCAAGGTGTTCAGAAGACTATGCATATCTTCAGCGTCTTCACCTAGGAGACTTACATCATCTGCACAATCTGAGTGAACAAGACTATTCCCTGGTAACAATTCACTGCCGAAGTCATTGAAGTCAGTTAGAGCTAATTCCATTGGTTACATCTATGATGAAATTATACATAAAGGGGGGGGGCAGTGAACATCCCTGATAGACACCACTGGTTGTCGTCACTTTAGATGGCAACCATTCTTAAGCTCTTGCAAATCTATGTGAGTTCAAGTAGGGTACCTTTATTAGTGCGATGTTCATTCTGGACTGATTAACTGACTGAGTTTTCAACCTAGAAGTTTACACAAATGTGCATCAACTCAAGTTGCCATATATAAAGATGGAAAGAAGTTATAATTGCAGTAGTTGTATCAAAATCTGTTTAGTTTGTCAGTGAAATCAAGATGCCTTATTCGTTCCCCGTCAGCACTAATTTGGAAGGAGAGACATCGCTTCATCTGGACTCAAAAGACTGTGTGGCGTTAAGCTGTCTATAGTGAGTCTGTAGAAGACTTACGCTCCTTCTGGAACATTTGCGTAGACTCTAATCATCCCGTGATTCATACACGCATATACCTACGATGTAGAAAATAGGCAGCAGTAAGGTCGCTACGCTCCCAATTTGTTGAGAAGACTAAGTTTCTTTTCAAAGTTGAAATACCTAAACGTGTGTCGGCGATTGATAGGAAGACTCATCTTAAGGAAGACATCATCTTATGGACTTAGAATATGCAGATGACGTAGTCCCGTTAGGGGGGGGATGCTGACAAAATGCAGAGTCTTCTGAACACCTTGAGCAGCAATCTTCGTATGTTTGGGATGCGATTCGCCCTTACAAAATGTAAGATGCTGCTACAAGACTGGACCACGTCAACTCCTAACAGATGAAACGAAGGATGAGTTCTACTAAAAGCTGTCTAGTTTGGTGAGAAAGGCTAAACGCTCAGACATAGTCGTTCTAGCTGGTGACTTTAACGCTCAAGTGAGGAAATTGTGTCAGTCTGAGAAGGATGTCGGTGGCATCTATGGACTTCCGTGCCGGCGAACCGACAATGGTGACCGTCTCCTACAGTTCTGCTCTGATAATCATTTGTTTCTTGTGAGCACTAACTTCAAACACAAGAAGAGACACTGTTTGACTTGGAGACCCCCTTCATCAAACCAACGCTGGACACAAATAAACCATATAGCAATAAGCTATCGTTGGCGTGGGTCGGTAGGAGATTGTCGCTCCTTCTGGAACACGTGTGTAGATACCGATCACACACTGGTCCGCGCTCGTGTGTGCTTACGACTGAACGGACGTAGGAAACAGTTGACGGTAAAACCATCACGTCCCCAGCTCGATCAGGAAACTAAATCCGTATTTGAGGAAGAACTAGCTAAACACATATCTGTGTTCGACAGCTGTGCTCACCCTGAAGAGCTTGGAAAAATATCCAGGGAGCCATAGATACAGCTGTAAAAGCTGTGAATAAGGTAAACCCAAAGGTGAGTAAAAACCACTGGATCTCCACCGCCTCATTGAACTGATAGATGCTAGAAAACGTATACCGGCGAGCTCCGAATTCAATGAGGAGCGAAAGCTGCACAAGAGGAAACTTACGAAAAGTCTCCGCAAGGACCGTGAACAGTGGTGGGCGACAAAAGCGAAAGAGATGGAGAAGGCTTCGAGGATAGGCAACACCAGGCAACTCTTTTAGACTCATCAGGGAAACGGGTGGGAGAAGACAAATCATCAGTGAGACAATCTCGGAAAAAAATGGCACTAAATAATGACGACCAGTGGTGTCCGTCAAGGATGCTCATTATCCCCTTTTCTATTCATCTTCATCATAGATGTGTTAATGGACTTAACCCTAAGTGACTTCAGTGACTCAGGGATTGACTTGCTACCAGGGAATAATCTCGTTGACTTGGAATATGCAGATGATATAGTCCTTCTAGGCGAAGACGCTGACGAAATGCAGAGTCTGCTAAACACCTTGAGCCGCAATCTACGAATGTTTGGCATGCGATTCGCTCCCGCCAAATGCAAGATGATGTTACAGGACTGGACTACATCGACGCCTAGTTTAAAAATAGGAAGTGAAGTGGTTGGTGGAGCACGTTGACCGCTTCACTTATTTGGGAAGTACCATCAGCCAACGCCAACGGGCTGATCTCTGGCGAAATCTCAGCACGAATACAAGGGGCTCGTTTCGCATTTGCCAGTTTACGCCGACTCTGGCGTAGACGAGATGTTCGACTATCGACCAAAGGGCGGGTGTACTGCTCATCAGTCCGCTCCGTCCTCCTTTATGACGGACTGTGAGACCTGGCCACTGAGATTGGAAGACATGAAAAGACTAGCTGTCTTTGATCATAGGTGCCTGCGCTCTGTTTCCCGTGTAAAGTGGCATAATAAGGTGAGCAACATGGAGGTTAGGCGTAGAGTTCTAGGTAAACAAGGGAAATCAATCGACGAAGTCATGAAGTTACAAAGACTGAGATGGTTAGGACATGTGTTACGTATGCCAAGTCATCGCCTCCCTCGACGAGCAATGTTGGCGGATATAGGGTCAGACTGGAAAAAAGCTAGCGGCGGTCAAACAAAAACTTGGCACCAGTCAATGAAATCCACAACAGTTAGTCTAAGCCAGCCACGTAGGAAGGTGTAGACTTCCGGGCTGGTTGGGGTCCTCGGGACGGTAAAAACAAATGGTTGTAAACAATTGGTGACATGGCTCAAAATCGTTCTCAGTGGCTAGCGCAGATGCATCCACTCCTTGTGACTTATGATCTCCAATGAAACTGTTTTGTTCTTCGTTATTACTCCTCCTTTGTCTCACACCTCTGCTCACTGTTTCTATTATGCTTTTCTTATACTTTCTTCTCTTGCTTCGCGTGCTACACGGAGTGTGGCGACTTGAACTTCCGCACATTTGTGCAAAGTTCTATGTCGAAAACAGACAGACAGAACTCCTAACTTAGTGATAGGGAGTGAAGTGATAGAACATGTTGACCACTTCACCTATTTGGGAAGTTTTATTAGCACCAACGGACTGATTGGCGATGAAATCTCAGCACGGATCCGAAAAGCTCGAGCTGCTTTCGCTGACTTACACCATCTCTGGCGTAGGCGTGACATCCGGTTATCAACCAAGGGACGTGTGTACTGCTCATCAGTTTGCTCCGTCCTTCTCTATGGCTCTGAAACATGGCCAATACGCGTTGAAGACATGAAAAGGTTGACTGCTTTCGATCATAGATGTCTGCGATCTCTGTCTCACGTTAGGTGGTTTCACAAGGTAAGTAATGTTGACGTTAGGCGTAGAGTGTTGGGCAAAGAGGGAAAATCAATCGACGAGGCTATAAAGTTACATAGACTAAAATGGCTAGGTCACGTGCTGCGCATGCCTAACCACCGCCTCCCCTGACGGGCATTGCTAGCTGATATAGGTTCAGGTTGGAAAAGAGTAAGTGGTGGCCAAACAAAAACATGGCCTCATCAATCCATGAAATCCTTGACAGTTAAACTGAGTCAGGTAGGGAGATGCAGACTTCAGACAGAGACAGACAGACGTCAGTCCTCCAAATGTAACCGAGGTTGTAAAAGCTGCGTCTAATTTTAAACGAAGAAGAGCTCCAAGACTTGATGAAGTGGCTCCAGAGGTATTTAAGTATGCTGGTGATTGACTATGAACTGGTTAACTAAGTTATTAGGTGATGTGCGAGAATCTCAGACAGACTCATTGAACTGGTAAAAATCATTCATTATTACAGTTTATGAGAAGCAAGACAAATCTTGTAGTAGTCACGTCTGACTGAGGTAGTATTTAAAATTCTAAGTTCAATAATCTTGTGTAGACTAAGTGGTGCTAAGGAGAAACAGATCCACGAAAACCTGGTATCTATGGTTGGCCTGTAAAATTTTGGCTACCGATATCACATGCTGAAAATTCCTTACTCGTACCAAAAATACAGTGTGGAATCAAACTGTAATGAAAAAAAATTATTGTTTTAAGTCGAGAAATACTAAACAGTTATTTTCTCTCGGTAAAGAAACTTTCAGTAGTCCACACCCGCTAGCCATATAATAAGAGTACATCTCACACTCACTGACCCACATGTAAAGGTTTTCAATATTAGTTGGTTGCTTAGATCAAATTAAATGAAGCGGAGTTAGTTTGCAAAACTCATCGGTTGGAAATCATCTACTGAAATCAGCCTGCTACACCTTGACCCCAAATAGTACAGGACTGTTAGGTGGCGGCATTACGCACCACCCACCATAAGATGATAGCCTATTGCATAGTGGTCCAGGGTTCGATCCCCGGCCGTCGACGCACTCCTTTACCTCGCCAAGCCGGTAATGAGACTGGAGACTGGGGATGATATGGGTCAAAGTTGTTTTCACCTGCACAGACACACTCACATGTTTCAATCTCCACAAGGTCAGTTAGAGCCGCATGTTTCTCCATGTACTTATTCTTTCTCCCATGCATTTCTATTCATTATAACTGTTTTTATTTCCTCTACCTTTGTGTACTATACGGAGTATTATGGCAACTTGTGAATTGCTGCACTTCTGTTCAGCGTTCTATACCAGTCAATGGAAGACACCTACCTGCCTGCCTGCCGCATTTTTGCGCTTTTTTTCTGTTCTACAATTATCTCGTTTACTACTTTTACTTTGTTGATTGAAATGTAATGGATATTTTATTGTATGCATAATATGCCCATAAATTAACTTGTAATCTTTTTTTTTCTGTTTTATTAGACGAAGTCGTTCTGGAGAGCGTCGAAGTGGTCGATCCAGACGTGATGACGATCGTTCACCAGGTAGTTTAGTACAAAAATTCCGTGTTATAAATTTGACCAAAGAAAAAACAAACATTGGTGCAGAATAATATTGGATCGGGTCTCAGTGGCTTAATGATCCACGAGCTAGGTCGCCTTGTTACCAGAAGGTCCCGGGTTCGAACCATGGCGGCGGGTGCGTACTGTTAAAGAGTCCCAAGCTAGGACGAAACAGCTGATCAGTACTTCATGCAGGTTTTCCAATGGTTCGCTAACGGATATCAGCTCATGATGAAATCGTGTAACCGACTAATCAAATCCTTACCAACCAATACTAGAAAATGGTTCGATTTTATTTCGATAATTCTCCTGATCAGCTTACTTACACTTCAGCTACCTTGTAGTCCTGATGTTCCACCTGATTGTGGCACTCTTATAATATACCTGTTGATAGAGGAAAGTAGGTTAGATTTTACGCTGACTTTTATATATTAAAAAATATTAGGTTGCATGCAGCTGATGAAGAGAACCAACAGAATAAAATGAATCCATGTTATTCTGCACCAATGTTCGTTCTTTCTTTGCTCAGCGGGTAATAATTGTTGTAATTTGTATGTATATATCTCATTTCACTATGAATAAAATTTCATTTTGATAGAAACACACAGTGTGTTATACAGTAATATTTACTGGTGGTGTAACCACGTTTCGAGCACAATTTATTGCCACTCATAATCATATAAAAGCATTAATCAAATAACTTTCTTGCTTCATTTATATACATGAGTGGAGCTGATGATTAGAAATTTAAATAGAAATCAGTAATATAGGATAATGTGCATTCAGAAATAATAATATGAGTGATGAAGATTCTTGGCCAACAGCAACAACAACAACAGACGACAATCAGCCAGCATAAATGGGAGAAACCTGAAAGAAACAGCCTCCTTCACCTACCCACATACCTGGGAAGCATCGTTTCAACTACAGGTGGAACTGACGAGGATATCAAAGCAAGGATAGGGAAAGCGAGACAAGCTTTCATTACTCTAAAGTCTGTGTGAATGTCAACAGCACTCACCATGAATATAATAAGATCCGGATTTTCAACTCTAATGTGAAGTTAGTGCTACTCACCATACGGATCAGAGAATTGCACTGCGCGTCATAAAGAGCACCTCAAACAAACTACAGACCTTCATCCACAGGTTTCTTCGCTCAACACCACTAAAGATAAGATGGCCGGCCAGAAAAGATCAGCAACAGGGAGGGATCTCTGGGAGCAAACCAACCCACCAGGATCCGATTGTGCAACAAATAAGCAGGAAGGAATGGAGATGGATTGGCTGTCCATACTCTGAGAAAACAAACCATCAAGTGATATCACTAGACATGCTACTGGTCGAGTGGGACCCGAAAGGGAAGCGGGAGGCGAGTTAGTCGTCAGTTGCAGGGGTGGGTGACTTGGAGGAGGTGAAGAGGAGATGAAAGCATGTGGGCAGACTTGGAGCGGAGTGAAAAGGTTGGCAGAAAACAGAAGGCAATGGAGACGCGCAGCTGAAGCCCTATGTTCCTCTAGGAATTAAAGGTCATAATAATAATATTTCATCAATTACAATCAGATGGGAAATTCGAAGTAACTTTTTAGGATGTTATAATGTGAATCGAAAAATACATTTTAAGATTATTTATTGTCCTCTGATTTGACTGGTGGTAATAATATCTTCCATATCTCTGGCATTTGCATTGAGTCAGTCTCTTTCTCCACCTAACTACATTACTTCTTAGAATTTCGACTCTGTCCCACCCACCCTATTGTGTAGTTGTGTGTTAATTCATGCAGTCCTATTGCTGAGCGATTTTCTAAATTACTTTTCTTCGCGGGGTCAACCATTCTTACCGTAGCTAAATTCTCATGTTCTGACAATCTGACTACCCCCGATCTACTAGTCTAACGGACCTATGTAGTTGGCCATTTGTAAATAATATTATTGTTTAATTGGGTCAACTGACGGAGTCCTTTAGTCTGCAGAGCTCGTCTCTGAATGAGTTCTTAGGTTTGAACGTCACCCTAATTCTTCATTTATTCAGAATCCTAAGTAGGTTCTCAGATGTCCCCTCCTTCCTTATATTGGTAAGACTAATGTAGATGACTTATATTCTCTTTTATGTATGTTATCATTACTAGTTTGACGATTATTTTTATGTGGCTTTTGGCCTTTTTCGATCTACCTAATGAATTTTATAGGATAGTCAGTTATTTAACACCAAAGTCTCTTCTATCTGTTTTAGTTCATCATTTAGGTCTTTTCTTGTGCTACTTAGTGCTACTGCCCGGTTTTGTGAAACACTTAACGAAGCCTGCCTTTACAGACATCGAACGGATGAGATGAATTAAAGTCTAAGTATCTATTAACAGAATTCGTTGGCTTTTTATAAACGCTAGTGTGTAGTTAACCTTCTTCTATTCTTTTTATTTTACAATTCTCCTTGTTCATTTTCCGATTCAAATGTGAATTTTATTCCCTCCACTAGTGAGTTTATGTGTGTCAAGAAGCTAGAGAGAGAGAGAGAGAGAGAGATCTGTTTTTAACAGTGTGTGAAAGTGTCGTCCACATATCTTGGAATGTACTTAATCTTATATTACTGATTTGTATTCAAATGTTTAATCATCAGTTTTACTCATGCATATAGGAATGAAGCAAGAAAGTTGTGTGAGTGAGTATTGCGTTGATAGGATTATGAGTGGCAATAATAAATTGTGCTCGAAGTGTGTGTGATCGCATCAGTCAATATTACTGTATAACAAAGACACTGTATGTGATTGTATCAAAATAAAATTTTATCCATATTGGAGTTATTCTCAGCCTCCACTACAGTGCCCAATTTCTATCCTTATATCTTAATTGTTTTTCCTGTTTCTTTCAGATCATAAACGCTCCCGAGATAAAGATCGTGACAGACGACATTAGAACTCGGAAGTGACGCAATTGTACATATTTTAATAAATATTTTTGTCCATTCCACCAGTGCATTATATATATATATACATTATGAGTATCGTATTGTTTTTTAGTCTTTTTCATAATCAAAGACTAATTTTTTCAAGTAGCCTATGTGCGTCTGTGTGTGTATGTGTTCATCTCATGATGGCTCTATATTCTTTTGGAAGATCACTTCTTGTCATAAATTCACAATTGTATCCATCTACATTGTAGTCTATGTCGTGACTGTCTGTTTTCGACATAGAACTTTGCAAAATGTGCGGCTGTTCAAGTCACCACACTCCGTGTAGCACGTGAAGCAAGAGAAAGAAGTACAAGAAAAGCATAATAGAGACAGTATACAGAGGTGTGAGACAAAGGAAAAGTAATAAGGAAGAACAAAACAGTTTCATTGGAAATCATAAGTCTCAAGGTGTGGATGCACCTACGCCACTGAGAACGATTTTGAGCCATGTCACCAATTGTTTACAACCATAGATTTTTACCGTCCCGAGGACCCCAGCCTGGAAGTCTACACCTTCCTACGTGGCTTAGACCAACTGTTGTGGATTTCATTGACTGGTGCCAAGTTTTTGTTTGACCGCCGCTAGCTTTTTTCCAGCCTGACCCTGTATCCGCTAACATTGCTCGTCGAGGGAGGCGATGACTTGGCATAAGTAACACATGTCCTAACCATCTCAGTCTTTGTAACTTCACGACTTCGTCGATTGATTTCCCCTGTTTACCTAGAACTCTACGCCTAACTTCAATGTTGCTCACCTTATTATGCCACTTCACACGGGAGATAGAACGCGTGACTAAAACATTTGTGTGTACTCTATTGTGTGTTTGCAGGGAAAAGTTTAATTTCTTCTGTGTACGTTATCTTCGTTAATTTAATTGATGTGTGTGGTTGTTCCGTTGCGAGAGCGTATTGATATGTGACTGAAATAGGCGCATGCTTTTTAGGTGAATTTGTACACTGTATTGTATGACTAATGAGTTTTTTATCTGTCTCCAATTGTAACGTTTAATATTAATCCACCTCTGTCAATGCGCGTACCTTATTACTTCAATTCCCTGGCAAAGTTAAACAATGATCACCACTAACTACCAATCAGCAAATGACCTCTAGCCCACCCACCAATCACGTGAAGGAGGAATTTTTGGTGCATGGAACACAGATATTTATGAAAAATATGCATAAAATTAATAATAATAATAACATGCTTTCATCTCCTCTTCACCATGACCTCCTCCAAGTCACCCACCCCTGCAACTGACGACTAACTCACCGCCCGCTTCCCTCTCGGGTTCCACTCGACCAGTAGCATGTCTAGTGATATCACTTGATGGTTTGTTTTCTCAGAGTATGGACAGCCAATCCATCTCCATTCCTTCCTGCTTATTTGTTGCACAATCGGATCCTGGTGGGTTGGTTTGCTCCCAGAGATCCCTCCCTGTTGCTGATCTTTTCTGGCCGGCCATCTTATCTTTAGTGGTGTTGAGCGAAGAAACCTGTGGATGAAGGTCTGTAGTTTGTTTGAGGTGCTCTTTATGACGCGCAGTGCAATTCTCTGATCCGTATGGTGAGTAGCACTAACTTCACATTAGAGTTGAAAATCCGGATCTTATTATATTCATGGTGAGTGCTGTTGACATTCACACAGACTTTAGAGTAATGAAAGCTTGTCTCGCTTTCCCTATCCTTGCTTTGATATCCTCGTCAGTTCCACCTGTAGTTGAAACGATGCTTCCCAGGTATGTGGGTAGGTGAAGGAGGCTGTTTCTTTCAGGTTTCTCCCATTTATGCTGGCTGATTGTCGTCTGTTGTTGTTGTTGCTGTTGTTTTTGACCAGGAATCTTCATTACCTCTGCTTTCTCTGTGTTTACTTGGAGTCCTATCTTTGATGCTTGTTCTGCCAACTTGTTGCTTTTCACTTGCATATCTTCCAGTTTGTGGGAAATCAGACGTATATCGTCAGCGGAGTTCATATTTATTCCTAACTATGGAGGACACACCAGTTGTACAGGCATGGATGGGTGTTATTTGAATTACATAAATTTGGTTTATGGTTAAATTACTTGATTGCTATCGTTTTTACCTTTAGTTTGTGGGATTAATCTGCTAACTAGTCATTTGCAACGCTTGAGTGGCTTCAAAATCCTCATTGAGTCATATGAAAAAGAGAAGACGTTCAGCGAAGAGACTCTTTTCGGCGAATTCATTCACATAGCTAGCTGTACAATCGCATTTATATATAATTATTTGTGTGTGTGTGTGTACATGAGGTTTGTCAAGTTTAGATAATTGATTAGGTAATGCAAGAATGGTCGAATATAAGAACAAGATTAATTAGATAGCAACTAAGTAAAATTGACTTAGTAAGTTGGGTGACGTAACATAAATGACCAGAAATTGAGCGTTGGTCAAGTTAGTAACAGTGATAGTGAGGTGTAGAAATTAAATCGGGGGAAGGGGGTAGAGAATAAGAAAGTTGAAAATGTGAAATATAACTATTAAGAAGACAAAATATTACTAATGAAGAGACAGAAAAAAAGATTAGGTAGAAATTATTTGTGTTTTTATAGTCATGTGATGTGCTTGAATTGAAATAGAATTTTGAGATTATTTATTATCCTCTTCTCATTTGTCTGGTGGTAATAATATCGTCCATATTTCTGGCATTTGCATTGAGTCATTTCTGTTACATGTGTTGGGTGTCTGTCTGTCTGTCTGTTTTCGACATAGAACCTTGCACAAATGTGTGGAAGTTCAAGTCGCCACATTCCGTGTAGCACGCGAAGCAAGAGAAGAAAGTATAAGAAAAGCATAATAGAAACAGTGAGCAGAGGTGTGAGACAAAGGAGGAGTAATAACGAAGAACAAAACAGTTTCATTGGAAATCATAAGTCACAAGGAGTGGATGCATCTGCGCTAGCCACTGAGAACGATTTTGAGCCATGTCACCAATTGTTTACAACCATAGATTTTTACCGTCCCGAGGACCCCAGCCTGGAAGTCTACACCTTCCTACGTGGCTTAGACTAACTGTTGTGGATTTCATTGACTGGTGCCAAGTTTTTGTTTGACCGCCGCTAGCTTTTTTCCAGTCTGACCCTATATCCGCCAACATTGCTCGTCGAGGGAGGCGATGACTTGGCATACGTAACACATGTCCTAACCATCTCAGTCTTTGTAGCTTCACGACTTCGTCGATTGATTTCCCCTGTTTACCTAGAACTCTACGCCTAACCTCCATGTTGCTCACCTTATTATGCCACTTTACACGGGAAATAGAGCGCAGGCACCCATGATCAAAGACAGCTAGTCTTTTCATGTCTTCCAATCTCAGTGACCAGGTCTCACAACCATAAAGGAGGACGGGGCGGACTGATGAGCAGTACACCCGCCCTTTGGTCGATAGTCGAACATCTCGTCTACGCCAGCGGTGGCGTAAACTGGCAAATGCGAAACGAGCCCCTTGTATTCGTGCTGAGATTTTGTCAGAGATCAACCTGTTGGGGCTGATGGTACTTCCCAAATAAGTGAAGCGGTCAACGTGCTCCACCAACCACTTCACTTCCTATTTTTAAACTAGGCGTCGATGTAGTCCAGTCCTGTAACATCATCTTGCATTTGGCGGGAGCGAATCGCATGCCAAACATTCGTAGATAGAGGTTCAAGGTGTTTAGAAGACTCTCCATTTCGTCAGCGTCTTCGCCTAGAAGGACTATATCGTCTGCATATTCCAAGTCAACGAGATTATTCCCCGGTAGCAAGTCAATCCCTGAGTCACTGAAGTCACCTAGGGTTAAGTCCATTAACACATCTATGATGAAGATGAATAGAAAAGGAGATAATGGGCATCCTTGACGGACACCACTGGTCGTCATTAGTTCAGATGACAGCTCGCCGTAAGCCCTCACCTGGCTGTATGAGTACGAGTAGAGTGCCTTAATCAGTGCAATATATTTTCTTGGAATTCCCTTTACAGCCAAGCGTCCCCAGAGAACTTCCCGATGTGTTGGGTGTAGACTCAGTGAACAAGGATTCAGTAATCAACGTCTTTCCATCTACCTAGATTACTTTTCAGAATTTTAACCCTCTCCCACTCTATCGTGTGTTCATGCGTGAAGTGCGATTGCTGAGCTTTTTTCTCTAAATTATTTATCTTCTCGGGGTCAACCATTCTTACCTTAGCTAAATTCTTATGTTCTGATAATCTGACTACCCCTGACCTACTAGTTTGACCTATGTAGTTGACATAACTCACAGTCACTGCAGGGTATTTTGTAAATTATACTATTTTGTCTAATTGAATCAACTGGGTCCTGTAATCTACACAGCTTGACCTACCTGAGTGAGTTTGTAGGTTTAAATACCACCTTAATTCCTGCTTTATTTAGAATCCTACGTATGGTTTCAGATGTCCCCTCTTTATATGGTATAACTGTAGATGACTTATATTCTCTCTTATTTATTTTGTTATTACTAGCTTCACAATAATTTTTATTTTTTGTTTGGCCTTTTTCGATCTTCCTAATGAATTTTAAAGGATAGTTATTTAACACCAAAGCCTCTTCTATCTGTTTTAGTTCATCATTTAGCACAACACTGGACGTAACCCTAACGTGAAAATATTCCTAAGTTAACTGTAATATAACTGGAACTAACCCCAATATCGCTTTTATTAGGTTGACCTAACCCTTACTGATCTTTGGCTCAAAGCGTAACCTAATCTTTCCCAAACCTAAGCTGAAACTTGCCAGATATCCCGCTTAATAGCATAACAATGTGCTGAGCATATTTTATTGATGATGACAGCATTATTTACCGAGTTTCACTAAATTGCCCAGTGAGTGTTTCAAGGTCACTGACGCGGTCGCTGTCTGTTTTCGACATAGAGCTTTGCACCGATGTGCATGGGTTCAAGTCACCATACCCCCTCCTTGTAGCACACAAAGCAAGAGAAAAAAGTAGAAGAAATGCATAATAGAGACAGTAAACAGAGAAACGAGGCGAAAAGAATAGTAATAACAAGGAGTGGATGCATCTGCTCCAATCATTGAGAACGATTTTGAGCCATATCACCAATTGTTTCCAGCCATTGGTTTTTACCGTCCCGAGGACCCCAAACAGTTAGGAAGTCTACATCTTCCAATGTGACTGGCTCGAACTAATTGTTGTGGACTGCATTGACTGATGAAGCCATGTTTTGGTTTGACCACCACTAGCTCTTTTCCAGCCTGACCCTATGTCAGCTAACATTCCCCATAGTTGAGGAAGGCAATGACTAGGCATACGTAACACCTGTCCTAACCATCTTAGTCTGTGTAGCTTCACAGCCTCGTTGATTGATTTTCCCTCTCACCTACCTAGCACTGGACTGATGCCTCACTTCAATATTGCTCACGTATTCTACCACCAAACACATACGGGAGATAGAACGCAGACAGACCTATGATCAAAGACAGATAGCCAACATTTTCATGTCCTCTGCTTTCAATGGCCAGCTCTCACAGCCATAAAGGAGCACGGAACAGCTGCTGAGCAGTACACACGCCCATCATTTGATAGCTAGCCGGATATCGCGTCTTCGCCAGAGACGGCGTAAACTGGAATATGCGATACTAGACCTCTGTATTCGTACTGAGATTTCGTCAGCGATCAACGCGCCATCACTGGCTGATGCAAATTTCCAAATAAGTGAAGTGTGCCAAAACGCTGCACAAACCACTTCAACACATATTTCTAAGACAGGAGTCAATGTAGTCCAGTCCAGTCCTGTAGAATCGTCTTACTTTTGGTGGTTGCATTCCATTGGTAGTTAGTGGTGCTTAAAGTTTAACTTGGCTATAATTTGTAGCAGTGTAGGAAACACATTGTTAATCCAATGAATTACATAGAATTCATTTGTTTTCTGCTAGTACGAATTTGAGTTGCTTATAAAAGCGATTGATCAGCATTCAAAGCAGTTATAACTATTAATGTATATATATATATTCTCCAAGGTTTACTAAGGATTCTGTACAGCATGAAATCTATTTATTCTTGATGACAAGGGTATACAGTGAATCTAAATTCAGATTTCTTGAAAAGCCTACATGTTATTTATGTTTTTATATTGCCAACTGCTCAATTGACCTATACTGATAAATTTTCGGGTGAAAGCTGTGTGAGATACACACGAAGCTTATGATAATAATAATAATAGTATTATTATTCCGTTGGGTTCCAAGTGGAGCATAAGGCTTCAACAAAACATCTCCACACTGTTCTGTTTTCCTGTCCTCTTCAGCTGGTTCCACGATTGCCCATAATCTCATCTCTTCCACACACACGGCATCCTGCATGTCACCGTCGGACAACCCACTCGTTGCCTTCCATTGGGATTCCACTAGAGAGATGGTCTGCATTGCGCGTGATGTCATTCGACGATTTCCTCGATGATCATGCCCAACCGATTCATCTCCATTTTCTTCTACGACTCTCATTCTGAATCTTTTCCACTTGACCTACTTGACATTTTAAACCAAAAATTATTCATGTGTATACTTTTTATCTTTATTTTTACAATATTGAATTCTATGTTATCAAATTTCACACCATGTTACGTAACATTTTATATTCGTCTATTAATCTTATGATTATATGCCTCTCCCCAAAATCTATACACCTGATGTATTATCTTATATATGACATTAATTATTGTTCCACTTGACTTAAACTATGAATATAATCACAATTATTTTGAATTTATTTCATACTATTATTATTTCATGTATTTACACCTTTGACCTAATTCCCTCACCGGATATAATTTCTTCATAAAACCATATATATATACGATTGTACAGCTTGATAATAAATTCGTTGTGGAAAAGAGTCTCTTCGCTGAAAATTGTGTTGTTATGTACTCGTCGCTAAATTATTGTTATGGACTGGTCGAGAAACTAATAGTCCTGACGCGAGAAGGCGGAAATCAGAAGACCACTAGGTTTGCGATGATACTTCTATTGTCCAAACACAAGGAGACGAAAATAAATGGTCTCACACCAAAGTGGTAAGTAAGTAAAGTATGTAAGTCACAAGATTGTGAATGCGAAATATATATGAATGTTCCAGACAAAGCGTGGGAAAAATCATTAGACAGTCTTAACATGAATGGCTAATTATAATGGAGTGTCGATCCAAATATACATAGCGAATATAGCAGACATGTGAACAACCATATATGGATATATGTCACCAAGCAACGGACTGTCAACAAACACTCATATTATATATAATATAATATAAGGAGAATATACATTGTTAAAGGAGACAAGTTCATACCAGTGAAATGGTCACAGACTAAGCGAGCAAACAGAAAGAGAGATCACCATACACACACACATCTTAATCCTACAAATTAGTTTCACGATCTGCTCTTGGTTGGTTTGTTCGTAGCCAGGATTTCTCGTTACTAATACTTTCTGTCAGGCCGTTTGATCTTCAGTTTGGAGCCACCGAAGGAGGCAGCTGTTGATGACAGTCTGTAACTTGCTGTTGGAAATCCTTTTCGTGACACGTCATACACGGAGCTTAATGGGCCCCTATTTTGAATAAACTGATGACAGCGAAGTTAGACCGTGAGCACCATCCGTGAGGCAGTGGACACAAATCACATTGAATGCACCAATCACATGAAAAAACACAATTTTTATGTATAAAATACATATATCTCTGAAATTAATGAATAAAAAGGCATGGAACTGTTACAGAGGTTGTCTTTCTCTGACGAAAAAGCTTCTCAGTTTTTGGATCGCAGTGTCAATAGAGTAATAAAGGTTTTTTGCGTTTCCCAGTGAATGAAAAACAAAACGATATTGGGAAATACAAAAACCTTTATTGTAATGAATATCATATACCTAATGCCCAATTTTTTCAAACCGTTAAAAGTGAACTTGGTTTCGACTCTTATATAACGTTCAATTCATGTATTCATCTAGATCTGCGGACCTGAGGCCTCATTTTCCCTCAACCTAATCCTGACACGAAACTATCCCTAATCTAATTCAAATCAACATTAGTACCTCCTTTATTAGGTTGACGTAACTCTAAACTACCCTTAGCGTAAGCTTTAAATGTTTTCCAAACTTAGCTTAAGGCTTACCATATATCTCGTTTACTATCATGACACTTCGATAAGCATTGCAACATATAGAAAATCAAAACAAGTGATTATTCAGCGAAGAGACTCTTTTCAACAACGAATTTATCATCAAGCTGTACAGTCGTATATATATGGTTTTTAAGAAGTCATATCCGGTGAGGGAATTGAATCTTAGGTGTGAATGCATAAAATAATAATAATAATATGAAGTTCAATTAAAACTAAAATGTTTGTGATTATAATCGTAGTTAAATGTCAAGTGGCAAAGCAGATTAATGTCATATATAGAATAATACATAGGAGGGATAGTACTTGAAAATGGGTGTGCAATTATAGGATTAGTAGACAAATCGAATAAAATAAAAACGTTACGTAATATTGTGTGAAATTTAATAGCATATTTTATGCATGTTATTTGCCTGATTTCACAACCTTGCTGACTGCGCGTTCCAAGGCCACTGGCGGGTGCAATCGCAATCCTCTGGTAACTTTTAGTGCTCAAAGCCTAACTTCACCCTGATAACCCGTTGAATACAATAATAGTTTACTGTATACATCAGAATATCAGGTTGGTGTAGACGGCAATTTTTCGAAGAACGTTTAAAATTACTGAGGGGTGTAATCATAGTATTCACCATTACTTGTTTTAAGTCTTCAGTAGTAGGTAGAAAGTTAATTCACCCTTTCAGTGTTCAGGTGCATTTTAAAAATTTACCAAACCGTTGATTAATTCCTTTTTCATTTGTTGAGTGAAATTGCATCCATGTTTAAAAACGGTTGACGGTTAGATTTTTAAAAAAATAAAATCCTAACTGCTTATTGAGGTTTATTCACTAAACTCATCTAATCTGAACTAGTATAAAATGATAACTCAACCTCTCCTAATTTGTGTTCGGGTGTTAAAGACAAACTACCTAATCCCTTCTCTTCTGTGCGTATCTATCAATTTGTTTGCTCCTGTGTAGCCAGTTACATAAGCCGTAAAATTAGGCGTGTTCGTCATCGGATTTCAGAACACCATAGTGGTTAGGTGGGAGACAAACAAGGTCCATTCATAGTTCTATACTATCTCACCAAGTAAATACAGAAAACAAAATTGATGTTAACGAGGAGACTTTCAAAGTCATCTACCACATACCAACTCATAATTAATTTATCTTAAGATTCGTCTATTATTATATTATTATTGTATCCTTTAGTTCCTAGAGGAACATAGGGCTTCAGCTGCGCACCTCCATTGACTTCGGTTTTCTGACAACTTTTTCACCCTGCTCCAGGTCTGTCCACATGCTTTCATCTCCTCCTCGCATGACCTCCTCCAAGTCACCCTTGGACGACCAACTCGCCGCCTCCCTTTCGGGTTCCACTCGAGGGCTTGTCTAGTGATGTCACTTGATGGTTTCCTCAGCGTATGGCCAATCCATCTCCATTTCTTTCTGCCTATTTGTTTCACAATCGGTTCCTGATTGGTTCGCTCCCAGAGATCCCTGTTGCTGATCTTTTCTGGCCATCTGATCTTGAGTATTGAGCGGAGACAGTTGTTAATGAAGGTTTGAAGTTTGTTTGAGATGCTCTTTATGACTCGCCAAGTCTCTGATCCGTATAGTAGCACTGACTTCACATTGGAGTTGAAAATCCGGATCTTATTTTTGATGCTGATTGCTGTTGACCTCCACACAGATTTGAGAGTAATGAAAGCTTGTCTTGCTTTTCCGATTCTGGCTTTGATGTCCTCGTCAGTTCCGCCTGTAGTTGAGACGATGCTTCCCAGGTAGGTGAAGGAGGTTGTTTCTTTCAGGTTCTTCCCATTTATGCTTATTGTGGTCTGTTGGTGTTGTTGATGTTGGCTAGGAATCTTCATCATCTCTGTTTTATCTATGTTCACGTGAAGTCCTATCTTTGATGCTTCTTCTGCCAACTTGTTACTTTTCACTTGCATATCTTCCAGTTTATGGGAAATCAGACATATATCATCGGCGAAATCCAGATCCTCCAAGTCTTTTGTGTCAGTCCATTTTATGCCTGTTCCCTCGTTGGTTGCCGTTGTCTGTCGCATTATCCAATCAATTGCAATCAGGAAGATCATTGGTGATAGTAGACAGCCTTGCCTCACTCCCGTCCTCACTTCGAAGGCTTCCGTAAGTTTCCCGTTGTGGATTACTTGGCATGCAGCATTGTCGTATAACTGTTGGATGAGGTGTATAATTGTCGATGGGACCCCGTAGTAGCGAAGTAGTTTCCAAATGACCTCTCGATCGACGCTGTCGAAGGCCTTTTCAAAGTCGATGAAGTTGAGATAGAGAGGTGACTGCCATTCCAAGCTTTGTTCAATGATGATCCGTAGAGTGGCGATTTGATCAATACATGATTTGTTTCTCCTGAATCCAGCCTGTTCCGGACGAAGTTTTTCATCTAGGGCTTGTTTGATTCTCTCCAGGATGATGCGACTTAGTATCTTGCTTGGAATGGACAGAAGCATAATTCCACGCCAGTTTTTACATTGACTTAAGTCTCCTTTCTTTGGAAGTTTGAATAAGTAACTGTTCTTCCAATCCTCGGGTACTTTGCCCTCTTTCCACACCTTCTCCAGTAGTGGTGTCATCAAGTCCGCTGTTGTCTCTGGGTCTATTTTCAAAGCCTCTGCTGGGATTCCATCTGGTCCCGGTGTTTTCCCAGTTTTAAGCATCTTGATTGCATTCAGGACTTCTGATTTCGTCGGGGGGTCAGTGTTCACTGGTAGTTCTGCTTCCGTTGTTGGTATTGCTGGACGTGTTGTAGGTGGCGGACGATTTAGAAGTCTTTTGAAGTGTTCAACCCAGTGCTTTCTCTGTTCCACCTCTTTGGTGATTGACTTTCCATTGTCGTCCTTTATTGGCTTAATCTGTGTCGAACGTTTGCCCGAAAGGTTCCTAGTTGTTTGGTAGAGTGTGGCGAGGTCTCCTTTGCCTGCAGCTTGTTCTGCTTCGTTTGCCATGGTTTCATAATATTTTCTTTTGTCTTCCCTGGCACTTTTCTTCACTCTTTTGTTCAGTGTATTGTAGCTTGCATTCAGCTCCTGTTTTTGTTGCTCGTCCGTGCACTGGATAATCTTTTGCTTCACTGTCCTTCTCTCTTCTATTAGTTTCCAAGTGTCCGTAGTGAGCCACTGTTTGTCCTGTCTCTTTTTTCTGCCTAGAATTTCTATGCAGGTTTGGCTCCACACCGTTTTCAAGTTGTTCCAGTGCTTTTCAACGCCGACCTCTTCGCTAGTGTTGATTTGTGTCTCGGCTTTGTCCTTTATGCTTGCAATGAAGATGTCCTTTGTAGCCTGGTCCTTCAGCTTTTGAGTGTTGAACTTGGCTTGTGGTCTATCTGCAGCTCCTGATTCCCTGAAAGCTTTTAATTTGATTTGGATTGTCCCTTGTACGAGATAGTGGTCTGAGCCAACGTCTGCTCCTCTTCTTGCTTTTGTGTCCAGTAGGCTGCGCCTCCACTTCCTTGAGATTGAGATGAAGTCGATTTGGTTTTTGGTTTGCCCGTCTGGTGACACCCATGTAGCCTTGTGGATATCTTTGTGCTTGTATACACTGCCACCAATCACCAGTTCGTTGAAGGCGCAGAAGTCGGCGAAGAGTTCTCCGTTTTCATTCATTTCTCCTAGAGCTTCTCTACCCATGATGAGTTCCCTTCCCGTATTGTCTGGTCCCAGTTTGGCGTTCATGTCTCCCATTAGTATTTTCATGTCGCCAGCTGGAGTATTGTCC